ACTCGTGTTGCGATCTTGATCATATCCGCCGTCACCTTGGGGTCCTTGTCGAACTCGGTCACTGCGACCATGCGCATCGCGGCAGAGAACAAGTTGAACAGCAGCGGGGCCAGGTTGCACCCCTGTCGGAGACCTTGGCCGACGTCAAACCATTCCGAGTACTGCCCGTCGTCCGTTCGAACCCGCGCCCTCATGCCCTCGTGGAAGTGGCGAATGACCGCCAGCATCTTCGGGGGCACGCCAAAGCGTCCGAGCACGTCCCACAGCAGATCTCGGTCCACCGAATCGTACGCCTTGGTGAGATTGCGTGTGAACCAGCGGAAATTTCTCGGTCCCCACGGGCGGATGGCAGTATAGGTGATTGTCTATGCATGGACTATGCGTAGCAATGGAGGTGACAATCACATAGCCCCCGGGCAATGAGCGCCAACAGAGCTCTCTCGACGACAGTGAAAGTGTTTCCATGAAGTATTGAAAAAAGGCATGTCCACGACTACCGCCTGGCGCAAAACAGAGCATGCCAAGAAGGCGGGGGAAAAGTAACGGTTGGCTTTCAGAAGGGTGTGTTGAGTTGTTCCCGGCTTCTTGCCCGCGCACCCGTGTACGACACAAGATAACACACACCCCGGGGACATGTAACATTTTGGCTTGCATATGGAGTATATCACTAGTATCACCTAGTGTTGTATTCCGGGGGGGTGTGCTATCTTGTGTAGCCCGGGTGATAAAAGTGAAGGTCGCGGGGACTATGAGGGGGGGTGATACTGCCGCACACACTTTGCAGGGACCGTAGGTCTGGGAAAACGAGACGAGGGGTGTCATCACTGCCCGCAGCACAGAATGACCTACCGTGTCCGCGGTCACACGTGCAGCCGGCTTGGTATTGACGGGGTGTGATACCCCTGCCTGCATGACACTACCGTACGTACTGCTGCCGCATTTGCAGGGTGCGTGGTACCGAGAGGGGGGGGTGCCACTGACGCATGACAGCGAAGCACCTGCCGAGCGTGCCTTGCAGTCTTGTGGAAACGATCGTGTGAGGTGGGTATTGCAGGGGGAGGTGACAGTCACATGACCCTCTGAGCAATGAACGCCAACAGGGCTCCGTTGACGACAGCGAAAGTGTTGCCATAGTATTAGGAAAGCAAGGCATGTGCACGGCTACCGCCTGGCACGAAACAGAGCATGCCAAGAAGGCGGAGGGAAATAAAAGTTAGCTTTCAGAAGGGTGTGTTGTGTGTATTCCCTGCTGGGCCATACTGGACGTCATCAGGGACCACTGTCGAGTCATCACCGAGGTGATAGTGGCATGGGCTCCGTGTTCACATGCGCCATAACCTCAGGGGTGTGATATCTCATGCCACCCTCGGAGATAATATTTCGGCTCCTCGTTCGAGGCCCGAAAATATTTCAGGCGCCGGATTTTGTATTATGTGGGGGGTGTTTTATCTTACGTGGGCTGTGTTATGCTGTGTCGTATGCGGTATTCACCCGCGATGCTATTAGCGCTCTACCATTGCCTCAGCCAAAGTTATTGCGTGAGCCTCCTACAGCAACAGTAATGGACCGCTTTGCTACTGTGCTCGTTGGCAGCGCAGAACAGCTAGCAACCCGTTGCGTCAAATAATACCATATTGTTTGTCCAGCTGCCCTTTTTCACCCCGTGCTCTCGACCGCACGACGCACACCCGCAGGCAACACCAACGAGGCTGTGATGCTCGGCAGGGGAGCCGGCGGGCGGGTAGCGAGCGAGGATGGCCACTCCGACAGCCCGGTCGGCATCCAGCTCAGAGGGATAGAAGGTGTGACGATCGACCTCCTGGGGGTTTGGGCGGATCGAGAATTCAGGGAGAAACTACGCTACTACTCCTGTCTCTCCTGCGTCGTGCTTTCTCTATTTTTTTCTCTGTCCGTGTTCGCCTGTCTATGGTTGGCCTGCTCTTCTACTTCGTGCTTGCTCGTGGACAGCCTCGTGCGCTTGCGCCGAGGCTAGTACAATGCCCCAACTTGATGCGAAAAGGTTGATGACTCTCACCACGAGATGGTTCCTATCTGCTGGTCAGCGAGAGCTGCGTCGAATTGCGACGAGACCGGGAGGGGAAGTGATACTTCTCCCTTATCTAGTGGAAGGGTAATACTCGCTCTTTACCAGAACTCGCAGTAACGCAGAACGGCGAATCTCGCTCCTCGCTTTGTGATGAAAACCTGTTTACTGATTGCCTGGCAGGCGGCGAACAAACCTACCTGTTGTAGGTGCAAAAGCGATCACACACGACCTACACTAGAATCGATTTGCCGAAGCTTGTTTGCTCCTCACCCGCTAGGGTGCGAAAGCCCGCATCAATGCGTGCAAGGAAATATCACGATAGAGGTACGGTCGTACAAAGGCACACCCTTTTCGATGTTAGCACACCTCTGGACCAATCGAGCCAACATTCTTGGTCAAGGGTGTGTGTGCGAGGCCTCCCACTTTTACATACGGTACGAAGTTGTCGCTCGTCTCCGTTCTTCTTTCGCAGCTGTAGTACACATGTCTCACAACGCAGCAGTATACGGTCAAGCATGCAACTGAAAAACATCATATCCCAGGCCATCCCCGTAACAGTCTCCTTCCCGTCCCTTTTTTGCCGCTGGTTGTTTTTTGTGGCCCCCCCCCCTTTTTTTCTTCCGCTCTTTTCCGACGGAAAAAGATCGACAAGGGAGTTCCTCCAGAAATGGTGGCTTTTCCTTGGTTGCCAGCAACGATGACGACGCGGAGCAGTTGGTTGGGGCGGGGGGCGACGTTGTTAACGGAGGCAAGCGGGCGGGGGGGGACGACCCGCGGCTGCACCTGAGCTCCGACAGGAGGACGTTCGTTAACCTGCTGATTGCTTTCGTTGGTGCCGGGGTCCTCGGCATCCCGTTTGCTTTCAGACAGGTGTGGGTGCCTCTGCCGTGCTGATGCCTAGCCCACGAATCTTCGTGTACTACACGTTCATGTACGGGAGTTGCCAGCATCCCCACGTTCGTATACGGGAATTTTCGGCTTTCGGACAGAGGTGGTGCCGCTGCCGTATCGTAATAGCTCTCGCTGTAGTGCACGAATCGTTGTGTACTTCACGTTCGAAAACGAGAGTTATCAGCACCCCCCGCGTTCATATACGGGAGTTGTAGGCTTCCAGGCAGGGGTGGTGCGTCTGCTGTGCCGTAGCTCTTGTGGCGCACGAATTGTTGTGTACACATTCGTATTCGAGGGTTCTCAGCATCCCCTCGTTCGAATACGGCAGTTCTCAGCATCGCGTTCCCCTTCAGACAGGCAAGAGTGGTGTTCTCTGCCGCGCCTTCGCTCTTTCTGTCGCGCATGAATCGTTGGCACACGTCTTATACGAGAAATTTTGGCATGCTGTCTACGCAGATCGAGCTTTTTCGCGATGGACTCCTTCCCCAAACCCCGTGGCTTGCTGACGCCCCTCCCCCCCGCTCGCGCCTTGTTTTTGGTGGTTTGTCTCAAGGGAGGGCTGTTGCTCTCGACGGGGGTGATGTGTATGGTCGGGGCTGTGTGCACGTACTGCATGTGGATGCTCGTTCGGTGCAAGTACCGCGTCATAGCCCTCAGGGGGAAGGTGAGCCAAGCAGGATATAGCTGGCCCGTCACTGGCGCTCGAGTTCTCGGTTATAAGGTGTTGAAAAAATTGCGGTCCCTCGTTTTCATGTTTGCCTGTTGTAGTTGTCCTCGGGCCGTAAGAGTACCATGGAGGTTGGACGACACACGTCAAGTTGTTTTTGCAGGCCAGACATTGCAGGAGTTGGCCACCTGCACCCGAGCTTGTCGTGGAGTACGCAGGGACTCGCGCCAAGAGTGAACCCTCTCTCTGCTTGCCCGTTGTCTCGAGAAACTGCTGCTGCGTGTGAGGCGTGCATATAGTTGCGCCGCACAATCCAGCGACCGTTTTTGCGGTGGATATTTAGCCTTGTTGGTTGTTTTTCTCTGCTCTGGCTCTCCCCGAAGGAATTCTTCTCCCCCGGCCTCTGCACTCGCATCGAGCAAGCAAGTCCTCCTGTTGGCACGGTACCGTCATCAGTCTTGCATCCCCGCGCTCATGTTTCCTGATGGATGTGTGCCCCCCTGTTGCCGTGGTTCCACGCACAACCGAAGCTTCGCTGATACGGGCTTGTCACCGTCGTGAACTTGGAGATAAGATATGGGTGGTTGCTTTTGTTGGTGGACTGCTTCCTTGGCGACTCTGTATCGATGCCCCGTGCCGATTCGTCACCTTTTCTTCTTCGTTGGTTTGGGACTGACGGCGACCAGTGACATCCACTTCACAGCAGTGGTGTGATGTGTTTGGAGGCGGGCAGCTTGTTGTCAGAAGCGCAGAGAAGAGAGGATGGACTCAAGGCCTGTGTCTTTCAACGAGTGCGCAGGGGATGTTAGCCCATGCACGCATAAGGGGGATCGCCCATCTACAAACACATACCACACTGATACACGGAACCCCCGATCTCCGTAGATCAGTCTCGAGTGCGCAGTACCCCCAAACATGACGTCCAATCTCGCACGGCGAACAGAGGCCGCTGCCGCGGTCATATGGCTACTCCGGTCCACGTAACGATTCCCGTGCGGCTCCGTCGTTTTTCATTTGCGACTGCAAAACTCAGCTTTTTTTTCATGCACGATGGCGTCATGCTTCCTTCGCGGGCCACACTCTGTTTATGCACTGAAGGATGAAGCTGGGCCGGTGAAGTATCCAGACATTTGCGAGGAGGCGCTGGGGAGGTGGGGGCTGGTGGCCGTCGAGGGTGCGCTCGTCGCGTCGCAGTCGGGCTTCGCGACGGCTTACCTTGTGTTCATCGCTAGGTACGCGCTCGTTGTTGTTGTAGTTGTTGTTGATGTTACTGATGTTGTCGTCGTATTTTTTTTTGGCCGCTGTTGTTGTTGGCGATGGTTTTGTTTTATGGTGGTGATGGTCGTTGTTGCTGTCGTTAGTGTTGTCGTTGCTGTCGGCTTCGTTGTTTGGGAACTTGGAGCGGGCCCGGGGTTCGGGACAGTGTAGTCTTCGTCCGCTAGGGTGCGCGCTTTTTGTCGTTGTAGTCTTCGCTGTCGTTGTCGTTGTTTGGCAGCTTCGACGGCGTACGTCGTTTTTGTGGCAACATGTTGTGTCTTGCGCGGGGAGATCGAAACGGTTGGGCTGCTGCAGTTTTTTTGGAAGGAGCGGACAATCTCCCTTGTTACCGCTGTTGTCAGAGCTTCCCAACCAACCCAAATTGCGGTGCCCCCCCCCTCCCCCTGGTGTTTGCCATCGGGGTTGGGTTTTCGTCGCTTGTCAACGACGTTGTAAAACAAGCCCCCCCCCCCGGTGTCTGCCATCGGGATTGGATTT